GTATTCAGACTTACATTTGAATCCACAGAACCAAAGAGAAACTTTCCCAAATGTGAGTTGTAGATCCATCAAATCAGGCGTCCAGCAGCTTTTCCCTGATCGCTCTCACCATTCGTTGTTCCTTACCAGATCTTTCCATCACCGGAGCCAGCACATTTAAAAGCTCTGCCCCTCTTCTGTGTCTAAGAAAATGCAGACAAGACACTCTCCTACATCTGATAGTGCAGAATATCCTTTCTCTGAAGTTATTTTTCTTTTGATTCTGTCCATAATTCTCTCATGGGATATTGTCCATATCTTAGACTTTTATTACTTTTTGAGTAAAATTTACTGTCTGCTCTTCAGTAAAAAGTTTTTATGAATGTCAGTAAGACTTTAATTTATTGTGACAGATTGAGGTGTGGCATTTAAATAACTGCAGGTCTCATGATGAGACATTCCCTGGAGATTTAAATGAATTAGATGTGATTCAGTTTAATAGAATCCAAAGCCCTTGTGGAATTGATGTCACAGGATTTGAATGAAGGATTCAGGATTTTCCTTTTTCACTCAGCAGACTGACCGTTGGTACAATTAGCTATTTTGAGAAGAAAATTATTAGATTATACACTATGTTTTAAGACAAAGTACATAAGGTACTACTAAAATTTAAAAAAGTACATTTGTATTGACAAGGTAATTTCTAAGATCCTAAAGAAACCAAAGAGGAATCTTATCCTTCATAAGTAAAGATCTTGAAAGTTTCTTGAGATCTGCAACATCTGAGTGAAAGTTCCAAAAATGATCTAAAGAAAAACATCTCAAAGTCATACCCTCACATAGGTCATAGCACATAGTCATAGCACATAGGGACAAGTTTCTGCATTTTAGCCATTTACTTCAAAGGCGAAAAGATAGATAGCTAAAAGATGATTCTTGTTCCGGACAAGATGCTCCTTCTAATCTTAATTCTTATTTTGTTATGATGTTGGTAAATGTCAAATATATTTTATGTGCCACATTATCAGAACTTCATTATCGAGATGTACAATCTTATTCAGTCGTGACCAGAAAAGAAAACTGATGATGCTTCATGCATTTAAAGAAGGAGCATTGAAAAAGAGCTTTTTATCGCCGATTCCGTTAGTGATTCCAGCTGGTGTGTAATTTTTGTCATGCATAAAGCCATACTAAAATAGTTCTATGTCATGGGTGGCGGTGAATAACTAAAGGGAATTGTGATTCTTCTATTACAGACCTCGAAGGAGGAATCAAACTAATCTAGAGAAACCTAAAGACCTTTTGACTCAATTTTTCTTTATTTGCCTCAACTGGAAATTATTTATTAACAATTTTAGATGTGAGAATTTATTTTTAGTTTTTATAAAAGATAAGTTTTATGAAAGTGAAAGATTCAAAGAGGCAAGGTCAAAGTAAAGCTGTAAAGCTTTGCCTGTTAAAAGTGGCTGTTTTTTTTTTATAGCTCAGCTTTTTTGCGGTAAACTTGTAAGAAATGCTCATTAAACTCTGGCTTTATTTGTGTTGCTGTTCTCATAATAACCAAGGAAAGAAACCCAGTACCAGAATCAGCTTTGTGTTCCTGTTGGATAATGTGAAAATTCCATAGGTTTCACAGTAGATGATTTATTTACCAGTTTGCAAAGTTGTTTGAATATTGAGTAAACGTTAAAACTAGGTTGTACAAGAATTACATTTGGACAAATGATAAGGAAACACTGCATCTTAATTTAACTCATTTGAAACATTGACGAGTAAATACAAGCACCTTTTTATTTTTCCAGAGTAAAGTGTGAAACAGAATGGGCTTCGAGTGCAGATCAATAACTGGATGGATGCCAGAATTTAGGCCCAGACAAATAAAATACAGTTTTCAGATAAAATCCAAGCAAGTTACTGGGGAAAATGTCTTTTATACACTTAAGGGAGTATGTGAAGATGCCAATTAACACAAAAGAATGAGAGACATTGAATGCATCTGTCTGAATGTCAGTGTTAGCTGTTTCTGTTAGGCAGATATAAATATAGGAGTCATATCTTCCTGCTTTTGTATTAAGAAAAAAGCGGCAACCATTGAAATGACCATTTTCCCTATTCAAGGCTTCGAGTTTCTTTCACTCTTAAGATGAGCGAAGTAATTTAAATCTGACTTTAACAAAGAGATTACAAAGCTTGGTCTTGATGGAATCAGTAGGGGTTATTTTGTTCAATGGAGTTTTAGTAAATAATTATTACCAAGTTCATTTTGCAGTAATGACCTTCAGGATTAAAACACAAACTTTGAAGCAGGATAAGTGAATTAAGACTCTGGGCTACCTTAATTTGCTGTTACACTCTTACTCTGAAATATGGCCAAGATCCATGACAGAAGAAATGGAGGCAGAAGAAAAAGAGGAGGCAGAAGAAAAAGCAGGAGACAGAGCCAAAGCCCCTGCCAAGCCAGAAACAACAAACATTCGGGATGCCACAATAGACAATACATTTATACAGAGTAGCATAACATTGTCATCTGGCAAGTTGCATGGACACCAAAGAAATTTTGGAAGACATTGTTGACAATTATTTGACAACTCTTATCACAAGAAGTGATAAGAGTCCTTCAAAATAGCATTTGAAAGGGCTAATCTTAAGGCCGCTCCCCATGTTTACTGCTCCATCCTTTCCTACTCGTGTGTGTTTGTTCTGTTGGAACAGTGCCCAAGTTTCAAGCATCCAGCTCCAAAGCTGAGATCAAGTTAATGATTCTTTTTTTCTTCCTTCTTATTATTCCTCCCACTTTGCACAATGCATCAGCACCAATGACAGCAAAGTAGCATGATAACACCACCACTGCGTTACATTTGATATCTGCAGGATTTAAAAGCTTCACCCTGAGTTGTCCACACTTCTTGCAATTGGGGGAAAATACCTCCATCTTTGTACCAACATAACATGAAACCTTTCTCCAAATGGCATATGGACCATCTATTCAGCCAGGTGAACCTTTTTGTAAACTTGGAGGTGTTACATTTTGAGTATGGCTGTCTTTCTTAGTCAGTCCATGGTGGCACAAACTGACTTTACTTTGGACAGCAACAGAGTAGTTTGTAGTTTATAAATACCTGGTTATTTCCAAACATCCTTAGCAATCTCCTGTTCAGGTCAGATGGTTATAAATTAGACTCAACAGGTACTCTAATGGGACAGTGATGCAATATATGTGATTTATTTTGAAACAGCCAAAGAAGGATGTATTTCCTTTTATTGATGGACGATCCCACCAGTCTTTGGAGTTTGGTGAATTCATTGTTATGCTCAAGAAACCAATTTGAAATGTTTGGAGCTTTGTGACATGTTGATTTTTCCTAAATGAAGTAGCCATCAGAAATCGACTAGACTGTAGAGGTGAAGTAATGGACTTTGTGACCATTACGTTGGTGTTCAGATATTGCCTAGTTGGTCTGAAGGGATCCAAAGTGTGAGGAGAAAATATTCCTGTGTTGTTCCTTGTTGAAACAAGACTGGATGAATCCATGTTTTAATGACATTATTGCCAAACTTTGACCTTGCCCACAGAGTGCTGGATCTCAAATTAAGACTCATTGAACTCATTGAACTTTTCTAATCTGATTGTAACATCAGTCTCCTATTCTTAGCTAAGTGGAATAGTTAGCTAAGGTCTCCTGCTTTTGCAGCTCCATTGCCACTGTCTGGGTATTTTTCTCTTTTTAGGATGTTGTTTTGTCAATTTGAGATATGTTTGCCGATAAAATCCCAGTAGATCAGTAGTTTCTACGACAGTAGTTTCTTTCTCGGCCTATCTAGAATCAAGCAACATTATTTCTCTTGCAGCTCCTTTGTTCCTGAGTCTGATGCACTGTTTGCACTTCAGGAAGCCAGCTTTCTGCTGCAGAGTAATAGAACTAAAAATTAAAGTCAACCACAGTTCATCAGTCTGTGTGAGTTAGAGAAAATCACGAGCTGATTAAATGACTCATTAGAAGCTTATGAATAATATGACATTCATGAGAATTACTGTAATTACTGGAAACACGTAGACAAAGTGAGTCCTGTATTTTTGTAACCTTTAAGACATAAAGTATAAGAAAATTTCCAAACTTTCTCAGAATGTATGTTTTTGTAGAAATGATGATGAATAAGAAGTTATTGTTAGATGAAGCATCTGGTTTTATTGGTGGTTTTTTGCACTTATAGTAAAATATGCACGTTATTCATAATGCTGTCAGTTTTCATGGGCTTTGCAGTGTTTGCTGTAAACAGAGTTAATAAAAAAGCTTTACCCCCACATTTCAGCTGTTAAACAAATGAGTTTAGATTTTTTTTCCTCTTTTTGTAAGCATGCAGCATCTCTTGGTGGGACTTCTTCCTCTTTTGTGAACTGTTAGGAGTCCTCACGAACTCACATCCTCCGGCGCAGCGGCTGACAGCAGTAAAGTCTGAGGGTTTAGAGATTAGGGTGGACTTTAGGATCGGGCCTCGTCGTCGCTGAAATCTGAGCGACAAGCTGCTTTTGATGTCAGAAATGAAAGCCATAATAAAACTGATATCTCACTGCCAGGAGGAGCTCTGGTTGTCTGGCTGCATTTTAATCAGGTGCTGATGCAGCAGTTGTGTGTCTGTGTGTCAACATATTTTTACTCATGTCTCCAAAACATCATTGTGTTTTTGGGGTTGCAATCTCTCTACATGCAGACTGTCTTCCTCCTCCTTTGTGTTGAAGCAGATTTCTAGCTCTTAGTCATTTGATGTTTAATCTGACAGAAGATTATAATAAACTACTGTTGGCCTTCTTTTTTATTGTGTTTATCTACAGTTATTCCGTCATTTTTTGTCATTTGTGACAACACTTTGTGTGATTCTTCTCTCTTATGCATGCATCATAAAGGATTATCTTCTCATCTGTCACACTCTTCTTCTTCCTCTTCTCATCTCCTGTTTTTTTTTCTCTTGCCTCTCTTTTCTACCTCTTGGCTCTCCTTTCCTCCCTCTCTTCCTTTGCAAAGCCTGTAATGATCTGGCGGCCTCGGGCAGAGACAGGAAGCCCAACGCTTTGGTCCAGGTGGCTGTCATAGATCCCCAGCAGCAGCAGCTCGTCTTCCACGCCTGCACAGAGATAGTGGAGGTAAGCCATAGAGATACACAAACACAAACACATGCACCTACACACACTGATACCCATTCACCATCTCCTCTCTGCCTGTCCGTAGCCTTTTGATGTTTGTTGTTTTGCGAAGTCGTTGGGTCTCAGTTGCATTTCTCTCCATCTCTGTCGGTTTAGCTCCTCATTTTGGCAACTAACGATCATTTTAGTAATTAATCAATCAATTATTCTCAGGATTAACTAATTAAATCATAATTTGAAGCGAGTTAAACACTTGAGGACATATTTAAAGACAAAGAAAGTGTTTTTTTTCATTTTAAACACAAAATGTACAGATTTTTGTATGTTAATTACTGCTCTGAGCGTGGTAGCAAATGGCTAATCGATTCATCACAATTAATATGAATAATGGTTTCAGCCATAAAACTTTTCGCAACAAATTTCAGTGTATTCAGTTGGGATTTTAAAAAGTAGATCAAAATTATGAAATGGAAGGAATCATTATTTAAGACTTTTTTCATACATAAATGCATTGATCTAAATCATTCTAAGTAGCAGTCGCTGTATGTTCAGCATAGCTGTCCTGCTATGTAAACTGAACCATCACAGTAGAATAAGAACTATCTATCTTCCTATAACTTGTGACCAACTTTCCTTTCCTTGCTGAAGAAAAGCCCACAGCATGGTGCTGCCACCACCAAATAAAGTAAAGTCGTGCTCTTGCAGTCTGAACATTGTGGGTTTAATTACAGCTTCCTTCATATCCTTTGATTCTTCCATTGCTTGTCTGATTGATGCTCTCCTTACCGACCCGCGTCACTTTAGGCAGACAAAGCTGATGATGCTGTTTGCTCACTAAAAAACCTTTGAGTCATGAACGAAGCTGCTGGATTTCTACTCAGATAACTTTAAACATGCGGACATTTGAGTGACTTCAGAATCCAGCTGGTTGCCTTGAATTTTATTTAGGGGTATCAGAAGAAAAAAATAAAACTACACACCACTTTTCTACAGAGACCCCAAAGGGATATTGCAGGAAAAATGAATCAACTTTCTCGCTTACCAGATTGACGTCAATCCGTCAGAAAAGCAACAAAACAGTGTCTTTGTATATCAGAACAAACTGGAAATCTCACTCAATTACATTTCATTTTTCCATTTCTGTAAACATTGTAACATAATCTGAAATATCATGAGTTATCTGGGATCTTTTCTTATGCATACTTACAAAATTATGCATCGCTTTCCTTTCACTTTGCTGTCAAGCCCTGTCTTATGTAGTTCTATCAATAAAATCCTGATAAAAGGGATTTAATTTCTTTGGCTTTAGTGTGACAGGATGGTTCCACTTGAGGAAAGCACTGTGCACTGCACATGTGGATTTGGCTGGGACACCGCTACATACAGATTTCATGCCTGTTAGCCTCTTTCAGTGCTTCATTATGACACTGTTGCTGCTAAGGCAAAAGCTACACATGTGTTTTTTCTTTTTTCTTTCATGCAGCATGCAGCTGCCCCCTGTCCCACTGTAGAGAACACACACACACACACACACACTCGAGTTCTGGTTCCTCCTCTCTCATATGAGCGCAAAGTTTCCAGACGCATGAAAGGGAAACACAATTTTCCTCCTAATTCAGTAAAGCTTAATTAGCATAACCATCTCCTTCAGAGTCTGATTTCAGCTGCTTTTCCCTGGCGCTCAGAGAGCAGCGGCGAATGTGTTTTTCTGTTCATGCGTGTGTGGAAACACAGGATGTGGTGGGATACTGTATGCTGGCTCAGGCAGACACTGAATGCCACTGGAGTTCTCATTTCATGGCTGTAGTATTCTGGATGTGGAGCAGGATTTGAGAACATGGACTGCCTTCGACTTCACAAAAACAGGGTATGTGATTACTGTCTGATTTTATCAGGGTTTTGCTACCTATTAAGAGAACCTAGGAAATGCCTAGGCATTTACTTTGCAGTTTGAAAGTTCTCCCTAAAAAACTGATGATGATCAGATTCAATATCACAAAATAAAAATATTCTGTCTCTCCTGAAAGTCTCCTTTGAAAAACATTCTGGAGATTTCACTGGACAGGGGAAAGTTTAAGTTTTAATTAGATATGTTTTCAATGAGACATTATTTACTGTTTCAACCAGCCAGAGAAGAGTGTGCGCATCTGAGAGGGCTTGTGTTTCTGGGCAGATCCACTCTGGCTGCAGTGCCTGAAGACAGCCTGACTGCCTCTTGTGTTCCTCCTGTTGTCACATTCCCAGGATGCCTACTCTCAGCAGCTGCTGTCGACTTTGCCGGATACTTGAGCGCTTGGCTGCTGGAAAAGCTTCAGAATTAGTCACATTCATGTGATTGGCATATTATTGGGAATCCACTATATCTGGTTTATTAAGATTTAATTTAGACGATTAATAATGGAAGATGCCAGCTGCTGCGTAGCTTTCTCTCATCTCACTCATGAATGCCAAGCTGGAGTTTGGGAGGAAGTGAACAGAACTTTCTATCAGTTTTAGTTTAAAGATGACAAGTTTTTGTCTTTTTCTTTACATAGTTTGACATAAAAATCAATGTCCACAGTGTTGAGAGCTTAATTCACATTAAGTCCTAGAACATATGTATGAGAACATTATGTAATATCACTGGTTTGAAACAACAGATCATTTTAACAGTATTTTGGAGAAAATTCTAAATGAAAATGAGTTTTCGGCCCAGATTTGCCTTTAAGTGCTGCAGTTTTATTTTAATTTAATGTCACATTGCCAACCGCCAAAAATGACATGTATAAAGTTTTTTCAGCAAACAAGAATTGTGCTGGTGGACTTTCTGACGCACTCACAGTGAGGCGAGTCCTCATTCAGGAGTCTCTGCGAGCTGCAACCAGTTAGTGCTTCTGTGCTTGAATTGCAAATTAAATGATCTGTTTTACTGTCAATCGCGTTTATTTCTCTTTTTTTCGATAAAGTGGATTACAAAGATTACAAAGATGTTTGTTCTTTAAAAGTCCCTTTCAAAACACTTTATAGGCTGGATAAAAGGCACTTGGTGTTTTGTCAAAGGGCCTTTGCAGCAAATAGAGTAGATCAACCAACAATGAAATTACTGCACTGTTTTTCCACCATTGTTGTTTTGAGAAAAAGAAAACAGTACTGGAAGACTGATGAAGATTTTATGTTTATTTCTGGCAGCTACGCAGCAGCTGGCATCTACCAATTTTGTTCTACCAGTTTTATATTTTTAAACTCACTACTGTGCAGTACATCAAAATTTTCAGGATGTAAAAAACTAGATTGGCAACACTGACGCTAGCTGCAACTGGACAAAGCTTTAAGAAACAGATTTCATCGAGATAAGAAATTGCTTGACATGTTATCAGTGTATAGCAGTAGGTGTATCTTATTATATGTTCTGCCAATTGGAAGGCGATAAGCTTTTACTAATAAAGATAATTTTGAGAGCTTTGAGGATTAAGTAAAACCTTTAAATTTATGTTAAAACAGTAGAATTACATCTAACATTTACAGCTGCCAAGCATGAACTGTAAAAACGGCTCTTTTTCTTCTACTAATGAGAAAATGATTAATTTATAGCTTTCTTTACAAGGTTAAACATATTATGTCTTATTAGGTGAATATAGTACTCATTTCACTTAAAAACAAAACACCTCAGACAATAATTATTCCTGTATTACTGTATAAAGTATTGGTGTTTATTTTCACCCTTCGAAGCTAGGTCTCCTGCATAGCTTAGATGTGTTTCTGCTTTAACACACCTGGAGTAAATCAATGGGTCATTAACAGGCCAATGCAGACATAATTAAGCCATTAAGCCAAGACAAACGTAAAATATGCAGGACACAGGCTTAATATTGGACACTGCTCATATAAAGATTTTCTTATTTCTACATTAAACCCTAATTCCTAGAGATAGTTAAACATAAATGTTTTATTGTGGACATTGTGCGTGTTTTTACTGCAACTAATTCACAAAAGATTAATGTCAAGCCTTTGCGTTTGTTACATGTGAATGGGTTTGTGTTTCACGTGTACTCAGTCTGACACAAGAGATGAGAAATTTGGACAGAAATTGCAGCCCGTCTTTTGCCAAACCTTAATGTGTCTCCACTGGAAAATCCTACAATGTGGGTAGCTGGTCCAGGACTTGTGGAACTTGGTGGGGATTTGACGTCAAGCAAAGCCAGCAAATGAAAAGGCCTTTGATGTAACGCTAGTGAAGCACAGATCCATGTGCGGAGAGCACGACCAACAAGTCTCGTCTGTCTGTTTGTATATACAACTATGAGCGGTCAGAGGGAGTGAGGGGGGAGAAACCCACTGAAGGCAAACTCAGTAGCCTTATTTCTTCCTCAGCCTAATCACACACAAGCACACACACCCTGTTAATGGCTGTAAATTGGTCGTCCCTCTGCGGAGCGCAGCCCGGATGGACAAAAAGACCAGAGAGAGGCAGCTGTCTGCCATAGCATATGCTCACCACTTGTATGACAGACTGGTTTGCTTCTCGGCGTAAATGGAGACAGGCTTACCACTTTAGCTCATCTCAGCCCATCAGCAGCACTAAGAAGATTCAGTCACTGCCGAGGCTGCCAAGCATGCTGGTAAGTCTGAATGAGGCCTATTCAGCGTGCCAGGGAGGGCAACGAACAGGGCTACGTGTGTGTACCTGCACTTCCTTCAGCATAATAGTCCTGTCTGTCTTTCTTCCAACGTGTAGCACTGATAATATCCTGATTTCAGTTCAAAGCAATGCATTGGTTTCACTGTCTCTGTTCCCGCTGTGCTGAACCCGGCTGTGTGATATCGGAGCACATAAACCACAAGGATTCATGGCTGGGCGCGAAACCTTTTGAGACAACTATTACCATGTCTCGAGAGGTTGAAATCAGAGTTTCCCTCTCAAACAGATCATGGAGGATTTTTGAATTATCAATTTGCTCTGTGATGCTTTGCATTTTCAAAAGGTAGAGACAATGTCTACTTTCTTGTCTGAGAAAAGAACT